AACTGGACCGTGATGTCCGTAAGAAGTGTCCAACCAGTGTGAATCATCTTTGGGCAATCCTCCAGGAGGCTTGGAGTAATATATCAAGTCAATGTTTGAATAAACTGACTGCTCGGATGCCTAGTGTTGTCCCTTATTATCAGTGCAAAATGGTCACTAACTAAAGAGGATTTATGCTGATATTGCCCAAAAACCCTATATTGTTCAGGCGTTTCCAAACTTTTGGAGGGCAGTGTATGTTTCTACAGCTACAGGTTGAGGAATCACTGACATTAATTTATTACAAATAAGTGTCTATAGATACTAATGTAATTGTGTATTGTATAAATATTGAACAGATACATAAATACATAAATAAATATTTATACTGAACAAAATAATATATAAATTATATATATGTATGTGTGTGTGCATGTGGTTTTGTGTGTGTGTGTGTGTGTGTGTGTGTGTGTATCTCTTTCACACATTCACACTCCACTCGCACTTTTAAGGGAGTTTCTTAGGCTAAAATAGTTGATGCTAGCTAACATTCATGATATATAGGCTATCCACTTTTATATACCCGAACCTAAATCTAAAGTTAGCTAACTAACAAGAACCTGTGATCCTCTATACCTAGCCATATTGTCCATAATTTGCAACCGATACATTATAGTAGCTAGCTAGCTTGTTCCCTGGAGGACTAGTGGTTAGGCCACGACGCTCTCACCACCGTGATCTGGGTTCAAATCCCAGCCAGGGAACCAATCACATGACAGTATACTCCCAGTGCTGGTCCCAAGCCCAGATAAAATTGGGGAGGGTTGAGTCAGGAAGGGCATCCGGTGTAAAAGCTGTCCCCGAAGAAGAACATGTATGTGCTAGCTATCTTACCTCTGTAACTACTTACTATTTCACTCTGTATATAACGTATAATATGATAGTGTAATAGTATAATATGAAGACCTTATTTGGATAAGGTCTAATGTCTATCTTAGTAAGCTTTTAGCCAACACGCTTTCACAACTGCAGCAGTTTCTGATTGACATTACCGTCTCTACTCTTGTGAGTAGCACAGCTAAGGTAATGCCGAATTGTCGAAATGTCTCCCAGGTCCTGCTGCCCAATAGATGGTGAATTTGCGGATATTATGGTACACTTCAGTAATGAAGAATTTAACACTGTGCTTAATTTGGGGATAGTGTAGACTGACCATTTTCATAACTAACTATATGTGAAACCTCTCTTAAACCCTTAATAAGTCAGATATTCACAGAAATGGGAAGAAAAATAGGGGGGAAAAATCACAGAATTAAGGTCATCCTTAGCTCATTTTAAAAGGAAAGGTTTTTAGTGGAAACTGCACAGTTTGAGTCTGTCTCACTAAGAGACATGCTCTGTCTGGTTCCTCAGCACACGGGGAGTGTCAGAGTCTGCATTTGGGTTGCTTAGTGGGAGAAAAAGTGCAAAATTAGTTTTTTTTTCCTCTCCTACCCATCTTGGCACTGAGACAAAGACATCCTTTTCCTCACGCATAGTTAACCTTTTCATTAAACCACATTGCATAATTATTGTGAGGACTGCCAGCATCCTCTTTTGTTGTTTAATTAGCCAGTTAATGTTGTTAGACTGTGCTGCAAACCGTTCATTTGTCTTGCTTAAGGAGCCTCTCTTGCCATAACAGAAGGAAATTGAGTTTGTTATTTATTGTGAACAGAGACTGTGTGATGGTTATTAAATTTTAATAAGCTCCAATTTACACTGTTGTATGTTCGATGACAGCAAAGACACACCAGTGAGCACTGACCAGCAAACCCTTGAATTTGTTCTTTTATCAGTTTTTTTTTAAAGACTTCCTCGCATATTACACAAACGTATGTTTGCGCTGTGGCATTTTGTGCATCACTTTATTGGAAGACATAGTGGGATGGTATAGCAGGTCGTATGTGAAGTTGCAGTCATTATTGATCCTGGCAATATTCCTCATCGCTTAACCTTTACACTAGCGGAACAGAATATGAAGTTCCTTTACGGAATGTGTACTTTTATGTTCTCCATTCGTGACAGTCCTAATCGATAGCTTCTCCCTCATTAGTTAGCCGAGCTCTAAGACTGGCCTGCTCCTGCTGAAATTTATCTGCTTATGTCAGAAGAAGAACCAGGTGCTAGGCTTGTGCGATATAGATTTTCCCCCGATTGCAGTTTTCTATTTTAAAATATCTCGATAAACGATTTAATCGTCCAGAACCGTTAGCCTAAGTAAAACAGGGAAAATGAGCATTTCAACCATTTCAGGTTTAAGGAGAGTACGAGAAGGCATAAAAATGTTATCAGCCGTGAAGTTGGGAACTGTGGCGATCACAAAAACTCTGGATGGTGGATTTTTAAGTGAAAGATTTGACACTTTGTTGTAGGTTTATTTAATATTTTTGCGTCAAAAATCTTCATCATTCATCTTCGAGTCAAGAGCACATGAGATGGAGGAATGGGGCGGGGCTTCCAGGAAGTGTCTGTTAATATTGGACAGTTCAAAACACTTGCGCGGATCATTCCAGATGTTCATTGGCTCGTCTCTTTGGTGTATTTTTGATCGAGCAAACTGTGACTTTTTTGTGGAACTCTGACCCAAAATGTGTTATGGTGGGCAAGTGTGGTAATATAAAATAAGTATCATGGCAATGTAATACCGTGCAGAGACGATTATAGCATATAAAGTTATATTGCACAAGCCTGATAGGTACTTTCACCTCATCAGTTCCATGTTGTGGAGTCAGTTCAGGTATGGTTGGGTGTGTGTGCTGTTTTTATGCAGTAGTAAAGTTTGCTATTTGCTGTTTTCCGCTGTATCCTAAGTAGATGTTACAAGTCTCAGAGGCCCATGATGAAGAGTAGGCTTTATTTTCCCAGGCAGAAGGGGGGTTGGGGTGTGCCGTGGCACTGTTTTTTTTTTTTTTTTTTCTTTATTCCCCTTATGCAAGCAAGATGTTGTTGGCTATGCCCTATTAATCACTTCTGTCTGCATCTGTTCCTATGTACACCTCCACCTGTATTTCTACTACCTGGGCACGCTCCCACCAACCAAATTACATCCATCTTCGCTGCGCAATCGCCTGACACATTATCTCATTAAAATGTACAAAGAAAACTCCTTCTCTTTATCTGCGATAATCTAATTAGCATCAGGCAGATGGTTTAATAAGCGATATCGCTGCCGTTTAGCCTCCCAGGCGCCCAGGTGGAGAGCTGCCGAGCCTCTTCCAGTCCTATCTCTTTTCCCTATGAATGGCTCTCCAGGGCTCACATTATTGCTTCCTCTGCCTGAGGGTAGCACAACTCCCACTTTACAGAAACGAATAAAGAACGGAAGGCAGAGGGATTAAAAACTAGACAGAATTCTAATGATTTTGCCTATTAACCAAGTCTAACTAGCTAACAGATGTTAGACTTTGCTTAGTGAATCATAATTTTCATTTAGAGCACTTTTTGTGGGAGTTGGGGGGTGGGGGGTGG